GGGAGAACATGGAGACTCCACGCAGAAAGATCCCGGGTGTCCTCACCAGGACGTGAACCGGCGACCTTCTAGCTGTGAGGCAACGGTGCTAACCACCGAGCACCGAGAATCAACATGTACAACATTTTTTCAAGTGCCCACAGGTGTTCCAAACCGTGGAAAACAAAATCTGTATATACTGTGGACATTTTAGGTCTGAGTTTCTCCTTTCTGTTCCGTGTAAACACAACCTGCAGTTCAACTGAATACGTCCTGAACTTTTGTCACATGACTGTCGCAGGTGAGTCACTCATGACTTTGTGGTTGCTCTGAGGAGCACAGATTTTTTATTTATTTTTTTAAAAATTTTTTATGGAATGTTATGAGAGCAAATAGCCTTTCTTTTTTTTTTGTAAATGTTTAAATCGGATATGTAGCATGAAGGGATTTTGATTAAATATCACAGTTTTAAGCTTAGATTTGATTAACTTTTCTGATGTAACTGTATCACTCACTACAGTTCAGCTCATTTTCATTCAGACATGTAAAAACATGAGGGAATGAAATTTGTACCCAGGTCCAAAGAATCAGATGGTTCTTTCTGTTTTTACAGTTTCTGGCTCATTTTGGTGTTTTTTTAGAAGACAACATGTCTTTCAAAGCCACTGGTGGGTTCTGAGGCTTCGATGATCACACACTCAGTAGATTCATCGCAGGATTCCTTCTGGGCTAAAGCTCTCAGCGACTCAGCTGGTGAGTTGGAACTGAATCAAGTCAAACTGCCTGAAGCAGGGATAAGCGCTAAGCGCATCTCACCTGTCCAGGCGGAGCTGGCAGGTGGTTCTCAGGATGTCGACCACACCCTCAGTCCTCAGCTGCTTGCACAGGATGGAGGTGGCGATGAAGCAGCCAGTTCGACCAATTCCAGCACTGCGGAGAAAGAATAAATTGGATGGATCTGTGAATTGATTAAAGCTGATCCCGCTAATTTGATTAAAAGCAAATCCTCCCTGCGGAAATCAGGAAGCGGGGAATTGGAAGTGGGCAACGCTGAAGTGTGCCAAGTGGATCTGTGGTTAAAAAACACAGCAGCAAGAAACCTTCTCCAATAAAAAATAACTGGTTTATTATTTAACCTGAGCTCTTTATTTGTTCAGCACTGTACCTGCAGTGGACAATTGTAGGACCACTGGAGGGCGGGGCTTCCTCTCGGGCCCTTTCCACTTCCTGTACGAGCTCCAGCAGGGGAGGAGCCTTGTCTGGAGTCTTCTGGTCGGGCCAGGAGGTGTACCAGTACTGCCGCAGGCTGCGCTCCTCGTCCCCACACTGGTGACACACAAACAGGCAACCAGGCGTGAACTACGGATGCCATCATGCTACGCACACATGTACATGAGAAAGACGCATCGAGGGGGATTTCTGATCAGCCTGTTGCTCTGCATGTGCATCCGAATTGTTACCTTGGTGTTAGTTGCTACGACAACAATAAATGCAGAGCAAGAAAAAGAAAAACAAGAGTGAGGGTTGCACAAAAAAAGAGCTTTCTCTGCCGGCTGCACTGTGCGTAATCACATCCATCAGTGTCAGCTATTCCCCGAGTGTCAGCCTGCCAATAATTATTAGTCCAATAGATAAACAAAATAACCAGAGGAGATGAATAAACAACAAGCTTTTAACACAGAGCACAGTTATGTAATGATCCCCTGGTGCTCAGTAATCAGATGAAGGCTGCATTTACTGAATTATCATGTTTGGCTCGCTAAGTGCCAATGACACCATGACCCCGAATTAAATGTAAAGCGCCCATCATGAACACATGGATGGAACCGAAAAGCACCACAACATTAAGTAACACACACACACACACACACACACACGTAGTGAGTCTGGATGCACGTTGACAATTTGACTAAAGGAAAACTTTGATTTTGGAATTTGAGGCCACAACATCATAATCTTGTGTGGTGTTTTTATTAGATATTGTAATGTCAAGTTTGAGATTATTGTCTAAATGAAGTGTTTCTACAAAATCAGCTGCAGACAGAAGTGGTGCTAAAGTCTGAAAACAGCTCGGTATCGACTGTCGTTGGTGCACAATGGTTTGTGTCCATGCAAAATACCCACATGTGAGATTTGAGCTGTCACCTCAACACAACACAGGTGATGACATTTCATTAGAGTTTCACACCACGTTTGAAAATTATTGTTAAAAAATCAACATTGACGCGTCTGTCCAGAATTTACATCCTCGTCACATCACACAGAACAAACATGCAGCAGGAGGAAAAGGTGAAGATAGAGAATCAGTGAACAAATCCTGTCCTAAAATATGGTCAGATTGTTTTTTTAAACGAATAACACACAACTTGTTGTGCCGTCCATCGTTCAGTCACATTGATGTTTGGAAAATCTGGAGTCTGATTACTGAGACATGATTGAAGATGTGGGTCAGAGGCTCAAACATTTTGCTCTTCACAAGAAGCTTGTTTTGAAGTGAACTATAGCTCTAAACTGTCTATAAATGAGATGATTGCAGTTGTTTGGATGTAGATGTATGAACTGGTTTCAGTGCAACGCTCTGTATGATTTTAAAGGGCCATTGCTTAAAAACCAAAACATATAATCCTAAAAGTGAAGAGCAGAGGGGGAAGAGTGCCACCTCTGGGAATGGACGGCTCGCCATCACTGAAGGGAAAAGAAATTCCCAAGTTTATCAAGACATCTGTTAGGATAATTTGAGGGAGGTTGTTTTAGTAGAAGCAGCAGGAAAATGACCCTAAACATAGAAGTGAATCTACTACAGAATGACTGCAAGGGTTCACTTATTGTTTCCTTCTCTGTATTTAGTCAAGACATTGTTTTGTGTCGTGTCTTAAGCATATTGTATAAATGGAACTTAGATTTTATGATCAATAAATGCAGAAAACCAACTAATTTCCAGCATCCATACACTTTTATCTCCCCAGTGTAGCTGCAAAACTAGACTACATTCATCCTCAGTTGTATTTTGTATGAAATGGCTATATTGCATTTAACATCAACACAATAAAGTATGATTGTAAACATTACATGCTAAACAATAGCATGTTAGCATTATCATTTTAAGCATGATAGCATACCGATGTTAGGATTTAACCAGCACCTCTAGCACAGCTGTAAACTCTTACGTTTGTTTTTAATCCTCTGAATCCCAAAACCCACCAGCGTGTTTGAAAAGCACGGTGTCTTTAAAAGAAAGAAGAAAACTGACTCCATTTGTAAAGGCCAGAATCCACAAAGACGGGACGAATCATCAGATTTTCAACTTTCCAACACTTCTCGAGTTCCATGAGGAAAAACAACTAAAGCTTGAATTTGTCACATTTTACTAAAATCACTTCATCCTGTACATCTCATTTAAAAATCTGTGAAAAATATATAGTTTTCGCTTTCCAAATTCCCTAAAAACTAAAAATTTTAGACTCCTCAGTGCAGCCATAAAGTCATCAGTGAATCATGTGACAACAGCTCAGAGACTTTTGGATTGAACTGCAGGCAGTGTTCATAAAATACATTTTTGAATTCTCTGTTTCCATAGAGGTTCAGGACTTTATATTGCAATGAAAAAAATGAGCCCACAGCAAGGAAAAATGTGACAGGATTAAAAATAGTTTGAGTTCTGTTTGGAGTTCAGAGGATTAATACAAGTTTTAAATCTCTGCCTTCATTGTATTAATAAATAAAGCTGAAATTGCACAACTAGAACCCAGATTTGACACTTTGTTTGCACTGCTCCTTTAACTTGTTGATTCTGTATTTACACTTCTTACGTGACATTTACCTTTAGAGTAAACACCCTCAGACTGTAGTCGTCCTCCTGGGTTACCGTGACGACGGTGATCTCGATGCCCTCGTGGGTCACAGTGTCCTCGGGCCAGTACTCGGCACATTTCTACAAGACGCAGTGGACACACAAGTTTAGATTTCTGTGTTCGTTTATCCAATAACACATTCATCATTATCATCATCATCGTCATCGTGTCTCTGCAGCGACCTCGTTCTTCTCCTCCAGGTTGGTGATCATCACTATGATCGGGCATCTCTCCTGCCACACCATCCTCCAGAAGTCTCCCACTGTGTTGACGGTGGGACCCTGGGTGGCGATGTAGGCGCGCTCCTCGCCGTCATAACCCTGCACAAACACACACACACGTCGCTGTTTGTTTGCAGTAATTAGCAAGGTGAAACTCATTGAGAGCAAATTAAATACCAGTGGCTGCATTATGGAGCATAAATACGCCGTTTTTCACTCACTTTGAGATAATTAGCATTGATATAGGTTGTAAGAAAATCATCTTCATCCTGCGACTGCAAGACGACTCGGCTGTGCGTATCTGCAGGTGGACAGAGTGAGATTAGGGATTGTAATTGAAAGAGAAAACAACACAGGAAGTAATGACTTCAGTGGTGACCACAGTACAAACGCAGCATGTCATATTCAGTTAAATTTCCTCCAGTGAGAATCTGTTGTATCTTTACAACAGACTGGATGTCACGAAACAAGTATACTGGAAATGATAATGGACAGATCAAGTGTGGAGTCATAAACGAGAAATCACAAGTCAGGATGGAGTCACGTTCTTTTTCTTGTCATCTGTGGCATCGTGTCATTTGAATAAAGTTGCATTTAAAGGTGGATTTTTACAGTCTGCTCACACTATCTGATCATTGCCCTTTAAAGCCACACTTTCTGTGCACAATTGGCTGATTTCTGCGTGCTGTGTTTATATTTTTGCTCCCTGTACATGATAGGTTCATGTATTTTTGTGTGCTGCTGAGTGATATATACGTGACGAGGATCTGAGTGGACTCAAGACGAGCATTAGAAAATGGCAGTTCTAAATATACAACTCCATGATCTGTTTTTAGTTACTGCTGCCGCTGACTCGCGCTGCAGCTGTACTCACTGGGTAAAATGGTTTTGTAGCGGTTCTTTCTCACCAGCCCGGGGTAATTGTACTCCTTGGGGTCCACAAAGTTCATGGGAGTTTCCTGCCAATGGACACAGAACAATGGGTGCAACCAAAAAATCAGTCCTTGCGAAAATGGGAAATTCCGAGCGTTGCCTTCAACAAAACGACAAAACATTAAGAAAACAACATCAAGTCGCCCGCTGCTCTTCACACTGTCTAATTGTGTGCGACTTAAAGGCTGCGGATGATGTGTGTGTGTGTGATCTCGAACGCACGTCTTTCTGCCGAGCAGACACTGGAATCCTCTGTGGGTTTTATGTATGCAAAAATGCTTGTATCCCTCCATCCTTTCGCCCACTAACAGGCAGTGGAAGAGCTTACGGGTGTGTGCAGAGCTCTGATGGGTGTTAGCGTGTGTGGGCGTGTGCATGTGTGTGTGTCAGTGTACGTCTCTTCCGGTGAGTCTCTGCTCATCTCTGTTAATCTACGGAGTGTAGGTGGGTGAGCTGCTGCTGCCGCTGCTGCCGCTGCTTCACTCACATAGAACTCAGCCTGCAGGCTCTGGTCATCCATGGCCCTTGTGTGGAGCATGGCAGGGGTCAGGGTGTGCGTTCCCTGTCGGAGGTACTCCTGGGCCGACTGGTCTCTGGGAGAGAGCTGGGCTCCGTAGCCGTAGGGCTCCGTGCAGCCCGGCGTGCACATGTCCAAGGTCAGAGAAACGTTGGAGCCTCTCCTGTGTGATTCAAGCAGACAAATGCATATAAATGCTCAGTGTGTGATATGAGAAAATGTGGATTGAAAGTGGATGAGTACAGCAATGTCTTCCTGCTGATACAGAAACAGAGCGAGTGTTTCAGCAGCATCCTCCTCCTCTAACCTCTCCTGAAGGCCCACTGGAGTGACGGTGAGGGTGGCGGCGTCTCCCTCCGTCCTGGTGTCGGTGCCGATGTCGAACACCGGGGTCTGGGGCACGGGGTCCAGGTCCAGCAGATCCTCCTGGGCGTCCGTCCACTCCGACAGGGTGAAGGAGGGCTGGCGGCTCACCGACTGACGGCGATCGCCAACTTCCCTCGACACCGTTCCTGATCCTGACGACCACAAGCCGGTGCCGTAACGCCACTTACACACCATGTGGATGACCTGAGGAGACATGGACAGGAGGCAGGAGGCAGTGAGCGGCATCTTCTGTCTTCAAACTTGCATCCATTTCCTCCTCTGTGAACAATTCAATTAACCAAGTGAGTCTTAAAGGATCCAGTCAGTTGGATTTCTTTGTGGTAAATTACAACGTGTTCCTAAGTTGTGAGATGAAGGATCTCCCCCCCAGTGTTTTACCATGACTACACAGATGGCCACACCGATGCCTGCAGTGCTGTGGACGATCCAGTTGTGCTGTTTGGTGTTCACCACCTCCCTCATCAACACCATGGACTGGCAGAGAAACAAACACAGAGAGACAGAAAGGACAAGTTAGTTAGACACAGCTGACATTGAAGCATCCTTTTTAAAAAAATTTCTCCGTCCAAAATAAACAGCTGTAGGTCACATCCAGGACTGATGCTTACGTCCATTCCGAAAATGGGCTGGCAGGGTAAGATGAAGCCAAGGTAGAAGTCGATGACCTGCAGGGCTTTGTAGATGGAGGAGAGCGGTCCATTTCCTTCCACCACGAAAAACACCCAGTACCCCTGGGAGGACAGAGAGAGAGAGAGAGAGAGAGAGAGAGGAGGCAGATTGTCACAGCTCCAGTCATTCATGCACCGGTAATCAGGTGAAAAGCAAGCGGAGAAGAAAAGAAGATGGCCTATTACACAGGCACAAAAAATATGCAAATCGACCACATGCAGTCTGGTGTCATAATCACGGCCACATTTACAAGGCTCTCTCTTTTTTTTCCCACCTATGGTAATGCTGCACCTGTCTTTTTTTTTTCTTGAATGAATCAAACATGAAGTCAGCAAAGACAAAGAAGGGACGAGGGGATGAATCCTAAAAACGTGTCCAAGTTTAGCCCCAGAACCTCCCAAGAATGTCTTTTGCAACCTTCGATAACAAACTTAGGAGATCATAAAAATGCATTAACAAAGAATAAAGCTTTGGAAAAAGAAAGGTCAAATTGAGAGAATATCTTGTTTTATTATTGCGGTTATACGAACAGCTAACTTGCTCTGATTTAACACTAAAATTTGCTTGTGGGTTTAAAAGGCATGTAATAATTAAAAAAATTACCAAAACTGCACCATTCATCAAAGCCAAAAAAAAAAAAAACAAAAAATATGCAAAACTCTCAGAGGGATGGAAAAAAAAAAACAAAAAAAATCATAAAAATCCATCAAAACCACATCACACTAAAAACTACAGCCAAAAATCAATAACCAGAAATCAATAAAAACCGCAAACAAAAAACTAAAAACAAAACAACAAACACAGCACTAATCAACAAGCACGAAACAAAAATCAAGGGACACAAAAGCAGAAACGGGTCAAACGAAAGGAAGGCAGTACACACACAGAACGGAAAAAAAAAAAGAAAACAAACTAAAAAAAAATGTAAAGAATAAAAAGCCAACAGTATCCCCACACAGTAAATAACACCCAAAAAAAATACCATACATAAAAACTCCAAAATGGTGAAACCAAACTTCTCTTTTTTCTTTTTTTGTTATGATTCACAGCATCATAACTTTGTAAAACTGCACAGAGGACATGTTTGGGTTCTCTCTACTTCTAGCCACGGTCGTTCTGTTTCCATGGACGTGCTGGACTTCATGTTGAGGTGAAAAATGAGGCCACAGTGAGTAAACATGTGACAGAAGCAAAATACGCCCAGAACCTGCTTGGGGCTCAGAGGGTTAATGCAGACACTGCAGATTTACATACCGTGACTTGGGAGACGATAAACAGGGCGGCCCAGCAGTGGATCTCGATCACCAGAGCGTAGACCTTATGAATAAACACTTCCTCTCCCTGCGGCCTTTGGCCCGCTGTGGGTCCATCTTTACATTTTGGGAGTCCATCTTTTTTAGGGGCTCTGTCGCCTATTTTTTCAGCCTTTGTGGGCTCATCGAGCCAGACGGGGTCCTCGTCGGGCCTCAGGAAGATGGAGTCCTCGGTGTGAGAACGAGTGGAGCTACTCAGCCGGCGGGTCATGATCCCCCTGTCAGACGAAGCTCCTTTGAGTTAAATGCATTTGATTATGGCGGAGATGTCCAACTCCGGTCCTCGTGAGCTACTGTCCTGCAGGTTTTAGACGTTTCCGTACTGCAACACACTCAAATGAATGGATCATTAACAGACTGGGCTGCAAGGTGGAATGGTGGTTAGCTAAGGTTAGCTATTGTTGCCTCGCCTCTAGAAAGTCACCGCTTCACTTCCTGCTGAGGACGAGGGGTCTTTCTGCGTGGAGTCTCCATGTTCTCCCCGTGCAGCGTGGGTTCTCTCCGGGTTCTCTGGCTTCCTCCCACAAGGTCAAAAACATGTTGAGGTTAATTGGTGATTCTAAATTGTCTGCAAGTGTGAATGTGAGTGTGCTTGGTTGTCTGTCTCTAAGTGTAGCCCTGTGATAGACTGGTTACCTGTCCAGGTGAACCTGCCTTCACCCTGAGTCAGCTGGGATAGACTCCAGTGAGAATTAAGCGGTGTATAGATAATGGATGGATAGATGGATGTACAGACTTGTGTAGAACTTGACAACAAGCTGTCGGAGATCCATTCATTTGAGTCAGGTGTGTTGCAGTATAGAAACAGTAGCTCCTGAGGACCGGAGTTGGAGATCCCTGGATTATGGTATCACAAGGTTTTCTGCTTTCTGACATTCATATAAGCGTGATGCATTTTCCTCCCTTTTTGTGTGACATTAAAATCTCCAAATATGCCCAAAAAGGTGTCTGGTGTTTGTTTCGCTCCTTATAAATCCAAAATCGGTTGATGTTGGGATTATTGTTTTGAGACCTTTGACCTTTGTGAGAAACAGTTAATATCCAGATACAGGTTTTCTTCCCCAATAATCCCCCCAAAAATCTTGGTAATCAATTAATTCAACCTTATCAAGACTACACGCCGATGTTCATTTCATTTACGTGCTTGCCGTGTGTTTATCATGTTGTGCGTCCGTCTGATTGAGCGCGTATATGACCGACGGGGCTGCGTTTATTCCGCGGGCCTATTCAGATGTATAGCTAAGCGGCCTGGAGTGGCTCTCATCTCCGGATCCTCTTGTCTCCCTCAGATTGGACTCTATTGTATGTGTGTGTGCGTGCATGTGTGTGTGTGTGTGTGTGTGAGAGAGAGAGAAGCTCTATTGTGGAGAGATGAGTCAGGGGTAGCGTGTTTACAGCCCTGTCCGTCACCTTGGCAACAGAGTGGCTCTCATCCCTCTCATCCGTCCTGAGCATTATCATCCGCTGACAACACACACACACACACACCTCTCTGTATCAGTCAGCAGTGTATTCAAAGCCCTTTTTTTTCCGCCCTGCACTTTTGTCCTTCAACCATTAATAAAGGTGTTTTGTACATTTGGCTGATTACCGCACGTGGTGTTGGCGCCGATGTGTGAATGCGGGGGCTTTCTGTGTGCCGCTTGCTCACATATCGCTTTTTTTTTTGTCTGAATGTGTTGCTGATGGCTAAATTTGTCACGAGCGAGTTTGGAACAAGTTTTCATCAATGACTGCCGGAGCAACAACACAGCACGGGAGCATGATTTTTTTTTTTAGTTTATTTTTCTTTCCCTTTACTGGGCTCTGACTGAAACAAACTACACAGCCGGTCACATGACTCACCTATGAGAGATGGCAGGGAACTGGTGAGGGAGTCAGATCACATGATCAATCCTGTATCCTGTGGCAACCGGTCGCTGTCAGCCATTGTGAGGCAGAGTCGGTTCTGAAGGACACACAAGACAGCAAACATCTCACGGTTTTGAATTCAAAACAAAAATGAATGAATGAAAACGGAAGTCCCGGTGTTGACCCAAAATACACCGGCCACACTGGTTAGCAATCCCCTCTAAGGACGGAGTAGCACCCCCGTCAGCTCCCAGCTGTGGCTTCATGAGCGGAGGATGGTGATGTGAGGTGACACAGTAAACTGTCAGTGTTTCTTCCCCCCTCTCTCTCTGCCTCTCTCTCTCCTCTCCTCTCCTTCCCGGGGATGATTCAAGCCAGACTAAGCAGACGCCCTCAGAAATACATTCAAATTGCTCCAGTCGAATCAGTATGCATGAAGCCGAGCCTTCCCCCTGCTCTCCACCGTCTCTCCTCCTCTCCTTCTGTGCCACTGGACCCTGTTGAACGAATGGGGTGAGCTCAGCGGAATATGAGACCACACCAGTAGCAGGAGATGTGTGTGTGAGTGTGTGTGTGTGTGAGTGCAGGTGTCGAACAGAGGGGAGTTGCTTTGATTCCTTTTCTTTCCCTCTTTGCTTGCTGTGAAGGTAGGTTTTTGAAGTGATGACGCCAGTTAGCCCGGCTCGTAGCCATGGCGATGTGCATACATACAATGTACACACACACACACACACATATATATAAACTATACACACACACATAGACACACACACACAGACATAGATTGTGTTGTATAACAGGAAGTTCAGCGTGCTTCCATTTTTAAACAATAGGTGGACAGGTAGAGGAGTGGATGGAGGGATGAATGGGAGGGGGGAAAAAAAAGCAATTCTTTTTTGTGTGAAGGTTGTCTGAAGCAATGACGCAGTGAGGTTGGCGTTTTGGTAACTGTGGCAACCAACATACTGTAGTGCACACACACACACACACACACACACACACACCCAGAGACTTTGGCAGACACACTGCATGAAAAATGAAAAACACAAACATACATCTGCACTGGGAGAGCAGTGACAATATTCACGTTTGTCTAAAAAAAAAAAAAAGAGAGAGGGGAAAAAAAAATTCTGCCTCTCTTTGCTTTTATTCTTTGAGGTAAATATCTCTGTTGCCTCGGCTGCTGAGAGTCTGTTTGGTGACTTTTCTGGTACATTTAGGAGGAATCGCTGCTAGGATTTTAGAATTACTGGGTTCACAAGGCCCAGAAAATGTTTTTAAAAAATTATTACCTATTCAATTTTGTTATCTATGTTTTATTTCCTGACATGCTGTGTCGAAGCATTTTCTCACCGAGAAGAATTCTAATAAAGAAACAATTAATATTTTTGTAATTGTGAGCTTAAAGGCAGAAAATAGTGAAATCACAACACTGACCTTCTCACAGTTTTACATCTACTATCATTGATGCTCTGATCTTTTAACAGCATCAGACTGAGGCTCTTCTCCACGTTCAGGCTGCTCTTGCATGATTTCCCTCCAAATTAAGCCCGACTCGGCAGACGTATTTGGTAATTTTCTCGGCATCTCCAAAGTTCCCTGGCGTTGAACGGTTGCACCCTGAAAGCTGCCTGTTACATCTTCTGCACAACGTCGCTGCTGATAGTCGAGGAGCTCACAATGAATATTAAAGGTGTTACTCAAAATTACACAAAAAGCGGAGAGCCTCGCTGCCGACAAGCTGATTATCGTAATGGAGGGAATTAGTTCGACTTAAATAGAAAATGAAACGCGGTTTAATCAGCGGTGAGCTCAGGGTAAACGGATGCAAATAAGTCAAACCTGACAGCTGATTCAGGCTCATTCTTCGCTGAAGGTCTACTGTCCTTGGATCCTTACAAACGCCACCCCCTCAGTCTTCAAATAGAGTATAGGCATAGTGTTTCCATTGATCTGCATCCATTCAAGAACCCACCATCAAGCTGGGTCTAAACTGAGCCGCACAATGAGCCCCCGTGGCCTCCGTCCCACGAGGACCAGGAGTGACCGAGCGGTGCCGGTTGTCTAAATCTCCTTCCTGCAATCAGGAACAAGGGGAATTAATGTGGTGACAGCTGGCTCGTGCTTTAATGGATATTCCTGATGCTCCCGGTAGTGTCTCTGTCTGGAAAAATAATATGTTTAAATCTGCTTTTCTACTCTTACCAGATTTAGATTTGTGTGTTTTTTGTTTTTTTTTGTTTTGGTCTGGATCCACTCCTATCATTTCAGGAAAGCAACCAAAACCTCTCAGGTATGCTATGTGGCAGCGTTTCCTCTGTCCAGGTGAATCAAAGTGAATAAGGAGCGAGTATCGAGCGTGCTGCTGAAGTGCTCATGTGGCAGAGAGACGAGGTAAGAGGAAGCTCTTACTGAAAGTGATGATGAGATGGTAACGTGAGATAAAGTCACGAGGGCCAAGACCTGTCTCATCAACCTTTTCCCTCTAATACACACAAACACACACACACACACACACACAGCAAATCTTGATATTAATACACACATAGGCTCACGATGACCTTAAACTCAGATGGCCAGCAAGTCTGCAGCGTCTCTCCTGTACATCACAGCGACTGATAATCAATCAGCCCGTATTGTTTACATAGACTCCTACAATTTCCTGCAGCAGCTCCGGCAGCGTTTCAAGAAGAAAATCTCATTAACACACACACGCACACATAAACTTACAATTCAGCCTAAACTACACTGTATGAATAATTGAAATGTGCTGCATAGCAAATTGATTTACAGGCTGCTGAAGATAAATCTGGATTCCCGGTGACAAAAGGATTGTGTTACATGATTGCACTGCATCAAAACACCAGTGCAGGAATGGCATTCTCTGGCAGTCATTCATACTAAGACAAAACACCATTCATATCACGTACATGGCTACGGTGAGCTGGAGCGACCACACAGTGCAGAGCTGGATGGATTAGTAATGAATCACCCGGGGAGGTGGACTGTTGCATCTCTCTCTCTCCGGTAACTCCCACATTGTCACATAGACATGATACATCACAGAGGAAATCAAGCTTTGAGTAATTACAGAGAGGGAAAATACACAGTTAACAGCAGCATCGAAGAACCAACCTGTTGGCAAACGATCAGCTTTGACAATCTGAGAACAAACACGTACACGGGCTACATCACACGTCCCTACCTTTTTCTCTTTTTCTTTTTTTTTTTACAGCCAAGAAAAAGCACAGCAGCCATATAAACCGTGGAGGCTTTGCTGAAGGAATTGGTATTCACCTCATGTCGCACAGCCACGAAGGGGGGAAAAAAGAGGGAGAGACGGGAGGAGGAGGAGGAGGA